AAAGCTTTCTTGATGTAACTCTTGGGTTTACTGTAGAAATTTTCAACTGTTCTTTCTTGGTTTAGCCGAAACTCTTCGAGAGATTCTTGCTGAGCTTGAGCCATTGCTTCACGAATTAAGAGTTTTTTAAGCTTCCTTAATTCTTGGATTGAAATATTCAAGTTTCCATTGGAAGTTTTATATAAAGTCTGTAGCTCTTGGCCTTGGAGCTGAGCTGTAGCATGATAATTCTTGAGCTTTGAGATTGTAATATTGATTTTTCTCGTTTGGCTTTTGAGTTTTTTCTCTGCATTGGTGCGGGAGTCTTTTGGGACCATGTTGACTTTGATCTTTTTGATGAATTTGTTCATGGAATCTCTAATAAGGTCATGAAGCTCATTCCAGTTTGAAGAGTTTAAGAAGCTAGTCCAGGATTCCACATCTTGGATAAAATTGGTGATGTTGCTGCTAGAGGTTTTTTCTATGTCGAACTTGTAAATAGGCTTGGTTTTTCTGAATTCAAAATAGTCCAGCTTGACTGATACTACATGATGGTCTATTGGGATAAAGTCACACTCCAGAACTTTATACCAGACTACTTTGGAGGCTAGATTCCTTGAAAGCCAAATTTGATCGATACGGGAGGCACTGGTGGGGGTGATGAAGGTGAAGGCTTTCTTATCAAGCTGGTGACCTATATCAATATAGTTATATAGATACCTATAGAGTATTCGTTTGATGGAAGAGGTTGGAGCATTAACTGACAGGCTGTCCTTGGGGTATGTATTGAAGTCCCCTAGAATTGCGTAATGGTATTTGTTGATGGCAGCTGACCTGATCGTTTGGTTTACTTGCTTGACTGCGGCTTTTCTTTCTGTCACATCATGGGGTAGATAAATTGCTGAGACAAGAATATTGACTTTTCCTTTAAATTTGAGCAGAACTGATGAACAATATTCTGAGTGGCTAATGATTTTGTATACGTGAGAGGTAAGACTTCTTCCTATGATGAGGGCTGTACCATTTTTTGCCGACGAGCTAGAATTTCCATAAATTATGGACCTTCCATTAATATTTCTTAGGTGATAGTCTCCTTGTTTGAGTTTAGTCTCGGTGCAGAAAAGAATAGTACGATCTGCGGTGTGATTTGCTAAGGCTTTGAGTTTGGCAGGGTTATTTAGGCCTTTGGTATTAATGGTAGTGAAAGTGATTAAATCTTGAGTATTTTTTGGATTGGATTTGTTATTAGTGTTGTTTGAAGGTGGGATTGTGGATTGGGAATAACAGGGTGAAGAGAAGTTGGAGTTGGCAGATGAAGTGGTATTAGTTGTTGTGTTTAAATGCATATGGATGTTGGGAGTTAGGATATTGTTTGATGAGTTAAGATTTAGATTATTTGTTATAATTTGGTTGTTAAACATATGGATTAACAAAGAAGAGTGTCACTGCGAGAAAGTTGCTTAATATTAAGATCTGGATCGATATCACTGAGCTTCTGTGGCAGCTTTGGCTTATCGGTTTGGGAGATTTCTTCGTTTACCCAGTGAACTCCTAATGGAAGTGAGAATCGATATTCCGTTCTCAAATTCTTGATATAAAAATTGGGTATCATGAGAATTTGTAGTAGGAATTTGAATTCCCAGTTTAGAAGTATATCTATTAATCGTGGATGGAAATGTGGGGAGGAGTTCTTTGAGCTTAAAGAAGTTGGGAGGGAGGCGTTCAAAATAATATTTGGAACGAAGTTCCTTAACCACCTCTCTAATGTTATGTTTGGATGTATTAAGTGGAAAGAACTCAGTAAATTTTGGTTCGAGAAGATTGGGTGATGAGGGAAGGGGAATTTTGGGAGGAGGAAGATCGAAATATAAAGGGGGGATCTTGTTAGGGACAAAGTAGAATCTCTTAAGTTCCCTAATCATGTCACCCAAATTCTTGAGATCCTTTCTTCTTTTAACTGGAAATAAGTGTGATACTTCTTTGGAGAGATTTTGCGGATCATCAGGGAG